TGATCAAAACGAAGTTCTAGTTTTTTTTAATATCCAAATTACCCCACCCCCCCCCTCCTCCTAAGATACTTATTTATTAGTTAAAAAATAAGATCTATTTCCGTTTATGGTTCGTTCCATTTTACAATGATACGTGTTCAAACTAAAAATAGGAATGATCAAAAAAAAAAAAAAAAGATAGAAATAAAAATACCAAACGAATGGTTAAAAAAAAATATAGCTTTAGATAAATAAAAAATGTAAAAAATAAAATGAAAAAAGGGATGAGGGTTCGTTCGAGTTAGGATCGAATGATTCTGTCGATAAAATAAAATGATCAGAGAAAAAAAACAGAAAAAAAAAATACGAATAAAAATACTAAACGAATGGTAAAAAAAAATAGTTATAGATAAATAAAAAATGTAAAAAATAAAATGAAAAAACGGGATGAGGGTGGAGTGATTTGGTTAGGATTAAATTATTCGTAAATGGAATAAAATGATCAGAAAAAAAAAAAAAAAGAAAAGCAAAGAATAAACCTGACTACTCACCTGAAGATCGTGACAGTCGTTATCCCTGTGACTGGCGGCACGTATCACCCCCGCCCGCCACCCCCACTCAATGATTTTATTCACCTTAAGCTTGGTGAAACCACTAACCGATAGGAACCTCTTTCCCACGATCTCCTCGCGATACTTGTACGCCATATTATTATTAACAACAACGATCGGTAATATTTCGCGTTTTCGTATGCGTGTGCGCGCGCGCGCGCGCGCTCCACCGAATTCGCGAATTCGGATCCACGGCCAGAACCGACGACGACAACTACTACGATGACGATGACGATGACGATGATGACAACGATGACACTACCACCACCAACCACCACCACCACCAACCACCAACCACCACCACTACTACCAACCACCACCAGCACAACCACCACTACTATTACTACTACCACCACCAACCACTACTACCACCACCGTCACTACCACCCACCACCCTTCACTGATCCAACACCAACCAACCAACCCCCTCCTGGTTTTTATTATATTTTTTCGGTTTTTTTTTTTCTCCCCCTTTGCTTCCTCTTCTTCTTCTTCTGCTGCTGCTTGTTTTTTATTTTATTTTGTTTTTCTAATTTAACCCTTCCTCTTAGTTCTTTTCTTTTTTTTTTTTATAATTGTGTGTGTGTGTTTTATTATGTATTATTTATATTTTGTCTTTTCTGTTTTTCACACAAGGGGTGGGGGGGGAGGTTTTGTTTTTTCTATTTCTTTTCTTCTTTCACAGTTTATATAAATCGTTCGAGATGAACGATTTGATTTAAATTGTATTATTCGAATGAAAAATTATAATAAAGGGGCAGAGAGAAAGGAGAGATAGATTGAGGAACAAAATTGTATATATGAAACAACACTCGCGCGTATATATATATATATATATATATATATATATATATCACCGTTATTATTTTTCTCACTTCTATTATTTCTAAAGATCAAAATTTGTTGTTAGAAAAAGAAATATTTTTTCTTTATGCACCCGCGTTTCCCTTGCACACTTTTTTATTATATAATTATTTATTTATTATTAGGTTTATGCTTGTATATTTATTGTTGTTGTTGTTGTTGTTGTTGTTGTTATTATTATTATTATTATTATTGTTGTTTCCTTCCCCCGTTATTTTTTAAGTCAAATATTATTCTTATTTTCTTCTTCTACTTCTACTTCGTTCAGTTTAGTTTAGTTTTTCTATTCGCGTGTTATTTTCACATTTATTTATTGTTGTTGTTGTTGTTGTTGTTGTTGTTATTGTTATTATTATTATTGTTGTTTCCTTCCCCCGTTATTTTTTAAGTCAAATATTATTCTTATTTTCTTCTTCTACTTCGTTTAATTTTTCTATTCGCGTGTTATTTTCACAATATTTATCTTCCCTTCGTCGAATATAAAATATCACCGTATAGAAACGAAGGCCGTTACCATGAGACGAGAATAAAATCCAGTTACTTTCCCATAGTAGCCTAGAAGATAGTAAATAGTATATACTCATATGTTAGATAAATGAGTATACCAAATTTACGAGGACATCCCTATTTCTATTCTACACTAATACACCTATCATTTATTATTATTATTATTATTGTTATTATTATTATATGTACACGAGATATATACACGACGGGTTACATAAATTATCTTCCCTTTAAAAACCTCTCCAAACAAAAATATAAAAAAAAAACCACCCCTACTTGTTGTCCCACCCCCTGAGAAAAGAATTTAACCGATTGAATAACCTAACGAATTTATAATGGGGAATGCAATATTTTCTATATCGTTATAGACCCAGAATTAAAGAACCCACCTCCTACTTTGTTTTGGGGGTTGTCGAGTTTATCGAACGAAGTAAAAGTGAGAAAAAAAAAAAAGAAAAGAAAAGAAAAGAAAAGAAAGTAATCATTAGCTATGCTAAAAGTATACAAAAAAAAGATCATTACTTATGGGGAGGTGAAGTTAAAATGGAAAGTGCGTTTTGTTTTTTCTTTTTTTTTTTTTATATAAAAAATCCACCTGTGACGATAATAATCCCTGCACGAGATAACTATCACGTAATACGCACACAGCAACAACAGTCAGATAATATATAACAGTTACCCTAACAACATCCAATAATCCTAAACAACACCACGTATATTATATCCTTAAACTTAAAAAAAAAACAAGATATTCCTCTTGATTCTCACACAGAACACTACTATATTACTACGTCAATGCTGACAATAACCAAAATGATGATGACGCGACAACAACAATAATGATGATGATGAAAAATTATAAATGGTATATAAAAAAATAAAAAAATAACACTTCGAATATTCGGTCGCGCACCGTTTTATGTATTCTATACAATGTATATTTCATTCCTAACAATTTTATTATTATTATAATAATTATCATTATTAACAACAACAACATTTACTATCAATACGAAAATAGAAGAAAAATAAGATGAAAAATATTAATAAGAAGAAGACCAACAACAACAACAACAATAACAACAACAACAACAACAACAACAATAATGACGAAAACGTAGACGAAGATGGAGATGCAGTTGGAGAAGAAGACGACGACGACGACGTTCACTCGACTCTTCCGAACGGTACCAATGTTGTGTGAACGTGATAATAGTGACGCACACATGACCGACCAGTGATATCGCGTAGCGCTTACTGCGGGCGGACGGCAGGGAGGCAAGACTCGACTCCTTCCCGCGAGCCCTGCCCCCTCCTCCTATTTTCAAGCAACCCTCACCTCCTCGACGATTCGTCAAGCAACCAGACCCACCCCCTCCTAAACCTCCTCCTCCTCCTACTCCTACTCCTACTCCTACTCCTCCCCCCCCCTCCACTACCCTGTACTTCTTTACTTCTCCTATTCAGCACCGCAGCACCACCGTTTTGTGCCCAGCACACAGCGCCACCACCACCAACATCAGCACCACCAGTATACTGGTCCTGGTATTATTATTATTATTATTACTATAGTAATAGTAGTAGTAGTAGCCCATCACACAACTTGACATATACACACATACACATATCTATCCTATTACCATGCTAGCTAGACTCCCCGTTCTCTTTCTCTTTCTATCTTTCTCAAGAGTTGTTGGCTGATGGTTAGAGGGGTAAGAGGAAAACATTCGGTTGGCTATGCCTAGGGACGTACCACCACCACCATGACGATGACGACACGACGACGTTTGCGCCGGGTTGCGACAGAATCCGAGAGAGATAGATTATCTATATTCCAGAACCGTAATACCTAGTTATCAGTACCCTAGGCTTGTTTACAAATTGTTTGATGTTGTTATTATTATTCTTTGGGATAGGATTGTTTTTTTTTCTTTATTTTTATTTTTGTTTATTTTTTATAAATTATCTTATGGCAAATTTTAATTCTCCGTTAATCGATTATATATTTTTTTTTTTTTTATGATTATGTATAGTAATTATACATATCGCTTTTTTTTTCTATTTGGAATATAATTATGTTTTGATATTAAATATATGCCAAAAGACGATAATATCCAATTTTTCTATTACTAATTTCTATTATAATTTGTATTAATAAAAAAATAGAAGAAAAAAAACGAATGAATGAAACATTGAGAGCTCTACGAGTACAATGAAATTGAAACAAATATTTGACATTATTGTAAAAATAATCTTATCGTTAATTATAAAAAAAAAACATCGTGAAACTGATTTGAGAAGAAAGAAAAATTTGATGTAAAAAATTGTAATAAAATGAGATAGTTAAACTGGTGGGCCCCTATTCTAGGAGCCTCATTTTTTGTACGTGGTTGCGGGGTCACGTGACGAAAACAGTATGTGACGTCAGGAGCTCAGCAACGGCCAGCTGCCAGTTTAATATGGCTGACTTGTGAGCAGCGGTGCTAGACGCGACAGTCCTTATTAAACTGTTCTTTGTGCTAAAAGTGCGTGTATCATAAAACGCGTCAATACGTTAGAATGATTTCTTCGATATTTTCACGACTAGTAATGTGAGTATAATAATGTAAAAAACATCTCTATGATTAACTTAATAATATATTATATGAAGAAAAATCACAAACTGCCCCCTCTACTCAAGTAAGCCCAGGGTGTTCTCGATCGACGTCCATTCAACGTACGGATATTCGAAAATTTAAATTTAAAATTTTTCCTTTTACACTCCGCCATTTTTATCTTGTAAATTCGTTTAATCCAAAAAAAAAAAAAAAAAACAGAATACGTCAAATTATTGATTTTCTTGTTACTCTCGTTCATGTATTTTTAATTCGACGTTAAAAAACGTTGCCTTTGGAAATAGACAAAGGAAAGCAGCAGCGAGGGCTTGCTTGCTTGCTTGCTTGCTTGCACGCGAATGATACAACAACAACAAAAATTCTTTTGTGCGTGGCCAAGCGTCGCGATTGATTCGGAGTGAACTTATTCAAAATCTGTATGTTTAACGGTCGTCGATTGTCAAAGGGATGGATTTTTTGTAAGGTTATCATTCGTTTAATGGTGACTGATGGTTTGTTTTTCTGGAAAAAATAAAAAAAAAATAAAAATTCCTTGAGAAGAATTATGGGGTTCCATTAGAAGAAAGAAAAGTAAAGAAAGGAAGGAAGGAAATTGGACAATGAGGAGGATTTTCCAAAATCAAAGCTACGAAGGTGGTGAGTAATCTTCTTCTAAAATTATTTTTTTTTTTTATTAAAAAAAAAAAAAGCTTGTTCATTTTTTTCATGATATATATATATATATATATAGTTACTTTCAATAATTGACCCCCCTTTATATATTTTTCTTATGCTTACGAGCATTGGATTTTCACGTTGCATAAAAGATAAAGAAGAAAAAGATAATTAGATAAAAAAAAAAGAAAAAGAAATAAAAATGAGAAAGGTCATTGAATCTATTGGTTAGTATTTATTACTAGGAACGAACCCTAACCTAACCTTTGAATCATTGGCTGCGTCGCATCGAAAATAGACGAATCGTTACGACACCTCGCGTATTTTTCCAACTACTAATACAATTTTCACTATTATTGCAATGAAATATTGAAAATTGTGTAAATGATTTTTAATAAATTTCAATCCAATCTGTCGATAATAATAATAATAACAATAATACATTTAATTTCCATTGAATTAATTTAACGCGTAAAAAGAATTAATTGAAACGTACAAAAATTTCTCTCGTTATGGGGAAAAAAACAACACACACACACAAAATTAAAAATAAATAATAATATATATTTATTTTATATAATTAATAAAAAGAAAACTCGACGGTGAAACTCGCGTTTTGATTTGAATTTTATTTGTGATG